CTAAAAATGTGAAGCGTAGCAATGTTGTTTAGCTTAGATTCTTTATCCATATTAAAGAGGAACAAGTCAAGCCAGATTAAATTGTGATTCACTTGGCACTCCTAGTCATGCATATTTCGAAAACATTTTGCACTTTGTTACTATGGTGATAGAAGAGAGCATAGTGAAACATTCACGCAGCACAGAAGTTGAAGCGAAAAATGACACATCAGTTCAAAGGAAGAAGAGAGGGAGTCAAAATTTCGAGGTAAAAAAAAAAGTTTTGGTTTACAGTTATTTGATTTGGCAAGAGGCATCTGCTTTAAGCATTACATGAGATTGCATCATTAATTTGAATGACGCAGTTTAGACTTATAGTGCTGTTTTTAAGATAGAGAGATGAAGTCTCGAAATTAAATAAAAAAATAAAAGAGATTATAGCCAATTAAATTTAAAAAGTTTGCTTTCATATTTTTTATCTTACACATTTCCCCCTTTCAAAAAGAAAAAGACAAAGCGATAGAGAGGCCCTTTTGAGAGAAAAAGCATTAGAGCAGCAAAATATGAGAGATATAATTTTGAAAATACAAAATATCAAATTTACTTTTGAACAGTTAAATAATTACACAAGTTGTAAAATTTTGAATTCAATAATAATTTTAAGTACTATATTCTTTTAAAACAATCTTACAGTTTTAGAGTCCTGTTAAGATCTGAGTCCAATCTGTAAATCTTGTTTCTGGAACATTCATATCACAATTTTGACGCTTCAGGCAAGTGTTTCCAAAAATTTTTCACACATTATCGCAATTATAAAAATTTTATATACTCATTAATTATTGCGAATAATCATAAACCTTAAATTTACACCATACTAATTTTCACATTTATAAGTAATACTTTATCATTTGTACTAGCATTGTTGAAATTAAGGCTTTTACTTTTATTATTACATTTTACAATTTTTTTATTTTGCACAGACTGGAAGACCCCACAGCTTTCGTATAGTACACACATATCCAGCTATTTGGGCATAACCACTTTAACAAACTCATGTACTAAATTTTCATGAGTGGGTAGGGTTGCTCTGGCAGTTACTTATAAAGGCTTCTATTCCTTGTTTAAAGACAACTGGTCTTTTCAACTGCACTATACATTCCATTATATTAAAAAAAAAATCGCACTCCATTATATGAAAAAATAAAAATTCTACATAAAAAAATTAAATAAAGTGGGAGCCTTCAAAGTTTATGCAATATGAGGAGTGTAAGCAAAACAATTATGCAGAGGTAAAACAAGCATCTATTTCTGAACCAGTAATATGTAGAATATAAAATATCTATCTTTAAAATAATAAATTAATAATAGCCTTTTTACTTCCATTTTCATTCTAAAAATAACAGAGCAATAATTTTGTTAATTAAACTCCCTGCAGTTCTGATGTGCACTTATCGATGAAATCTGAACCCAACGTTTGTGTATTAAACTGCCTTGTGATCTGAAATGGAATTAGTTATAAAAACTTAATTGTGTCGCAACTCTTTCTGTCTTCCCTTCTGCCTCTAGATGCTTATGTCACCTTGCTGCTAGCCACACAGAGTTTACTTTTATAATTTCATCCATTGTTTAAGATGTAATCTGTATAAAATTAAGAGGGTGCATAGCGCACCCACAGTGATGATGTGCATTATTTAGGAATAAAACTATTTGGGGAATTTATTGTTATATGTATTTTCGAGTGTCATCTTGTTAACTGTGCAGTTATAATGCAGAGAATCATCGTCAATCCATTGCAACTTTCTTTTACCAAGTCATCGCATTGCAATAATGCAGTCTTATTACAATAATGGCACACATTTATGATATATATATGTATCCTGTTTTGGAAAGGAGAAGGGAATGATCTTCCAACGGTAGTGAAAGGAATAAATGGGGCAGAAAAGACTAGAACCACTGGTTTACACAAACTTTAAAACTAGAATAATGATGTCATTTCAATTTGGAACGCAATTATAGATAAAAATGTCAATTAATTTTGCATACAGATGTTAAAATAATTGAAGGTGAATTCATCAAACATTTTTGTTAGACATTTATATTTTTTTTAAATGTAAAATGATCATTTATAATTACAGATTTGTTAATTTAGAAGGATATATGCAGTTAGAAAAAGGTTTGCACCATGACCTTTATGCTAAGTAACTAATCACATATAATTATAATCATCAATAAAACTGAAAAAAAAATTGGACACTTTAAAAATGAAAAAAATAGGATCATTTGCATTTAAAAACTGTTAGTAATGTTACTATAACAATAATCAGGAAGAAATCCTAAAAGGAATTTTTTAATGTTAAACTTATAAAGTCAGTAATTTAAAAGTTCGCTGTAGCAGGGATTGACTGTAATTTAGTTTTTGTACTTTTCTTTTCCCCTCTAAATTTTTTACTGCTGTTATGCATTTGAACTCATCTAAATGCATTTAAAAAGAGATTCATGTTAAAAATTTATTTCATGAGTAAATGAATTTTTTTAACACATTCCAGTCAGGTATATTCATTACAGACATATGTGTGTAGCTGGGGTTTTTTTCATAAATTTCATGGCTATTTTGTCATTCAATAAAATCTCAATAAATCCATACACACTTAAAATGCCTTTCGTATTACACCGTTACCCACCGTTCGGTACAAATCTACTAAATGCATACTTTTATGTGATCCATGCTCTAGTGATTATTCTTTCGATTTTTTCATGCAAAAAGTAAAAGTATTTCAGATTATTGATTATTAGTATAATGTTGCATATAATTTTTATGAAATTTGAAGCTCAGTTTTCATTTTACTGCAAAAATATTGATAAGTCTGAATATTGCAAGTGCTGAATATAAAATATTGATAAGTGCTGGTGATAATAGATCACAATTATTACATAATTAAAATTTTTTAGTTAAATTAATGTATTAAATAATGTATGTAATGTATTAAATTTTTAATTAACTTAATATATGTATTATGTAAACTTATACTCTTATATGTTACTAGTATTATGTCTTAACTGTTTTATTTCTTGCAAGATATATAGTAGGTAGGGATAATAAAATATTTCTAGCAATTTGTTAAAGATCAAGATAAATTAATAAATATAAAAAATTTCTTTTAATGAATGTAGGAGGAAGAACTTTAACCCGTGAGCATGTACGCTCATATTAGTTACATGAACTTGCACACTGAGTCCAAAAGAACGGATTTGTGTTTTTTGAAGAAAAATAGTAAATCTTCAGAAAAAGTGCATATTTATAAACCTCTATACTAATATATTTATAAACTTTATATAATTTATTATAAACCTCTGCATAATTGTTTTGCTTACACTCCTCATATTACATAAACTTTGAAGGCTCCCACTTTATTAAATTTTTTATGTAGGATTTTTATTTTTTCGTATAATGGATTGTGATTTTGTTTTTAATATAATGGAATGTATAGTGCAGTTGAAAAGACCAGTTGCCTTTAAACAAATATACAATCTATTTTTCTAAGCCAGTATATTTACATATATGCCAGTAATAAACTTTTTGATTAAATGTAAAAAATATGCACATAAAATTTTTTTATTTCTCCAAATGCTTTTATGAAATAAAATTTAAAGGAAGAGAAAATTGTATTATTTATTAACATAGGAAAAAAATAGTCTAACCTTTACTCTGTATCGATTCTTTATTTTATTTATTTATTGTTAGTACTATAGGCACAGAGCAAAAATGCAAGAGTAGCACATTGAACAAAATGTTGTGTAATCCAAATCCAAATTTTTTTTTTACTTTTGGTGCAGCCTGTTTTATTATTTATTTATTTGTGTGTGTGTGTGTGCTTTTTTGCTGGAGAAACACTGCTTCCCCCCCTCCCAAAAAAAGCAATTTATGTCATTTTCACTGTTGTTTTCAGAATCTATATCAATTCTCCATCAGTGGAACACTTCCATTCTCCTTTTCTTCAATACATTTTTCTCCAATTCATACATCTAATAATTTTTGTAACATTTCTTCCTTGTAAAATAAATTACACAACATGTTTGCCATTTTCTATACTATCACAAATCAACTATGTATTAGTAATACAAATAGGGGAGCTGGGTCTAAAAGATCCAATTCAATCAAAATCAAGATTTCACATCGAATCCACAGCAAAAAAAACTTCGAAAGAATAAAGAGGTCGACCTCAGACATGACTACACTGGACCTCAACAATTTGTGTGAAACAGGTGTGCTTTGGAAAAGGTTTGCTTAATCGCGCAGGTCCGTTGGACCCAGACGGGCAGGTTAATAATATAAAAATAGCACAAATAATTCAATTACGCCAGTGTCAATCGCAAGCTTTTCTGGAATTTGCTGGTTAGTTTATCTGGAAGATAAATTGATTAGCTTATTAAAATGGATTCTATATTTTTGTTATTTATTATAACACCTGTGATTGTGAAGAGAACAAAATACAGTCATTATTCATTTTTCTGCATTTTTCTTTGTGTATGTTACCATTTAACTCTTTTATTGGTTGCTTAATATTTGTAGATTTATATATAATTTGTATGTATTATGTAATATTGCGATGACTCAGACAGGTTTAATGTAAGTGAAATATTTAGAGGTGAGAACTGCATAGATATGCATTTCAGTTTAAGAAATCTAAAGTGCAAAAAAATTCAAACAATTTGATGATTACTTATTCCTACTACATAAATTTTTGAAATATTATTAATGCTTTATCCATACATTGTAATAGCAAGTGATGTGTGTTTATTTTATTTTATCTCATTTATTTATTTATTAATTTATTTTTAGTTTTGAATCTTTTTTGTATGGCATTCTAATAGCTACTGTATTGTTGTGAATTACTGTACATTTTTATAGCTGTGTTTTATCAATAAAATCAATATTCTTAAAATGTATTCAACTTTGCTTGAATGTTTAATGAATAATATTTGTTCCATTTTAAGCATTATGTAATTAAAACTATTTATAGGGGAGCTGCAAGATATGAATTCACTCATGAAATCTTAGCCAACGAAGTTTCCGTTTTTAAAGATGAGAAAATTCTTCGTGATAGAAGAATTTCTATAATATGTAGGAGTAAACCAAGTGAAAGTCATGATAATAAATAGTTTTGAAAATGTATTTTGTTAAATATTTCGTTTTATTTATTTGTTACATTGTAAATAAAAATAAATTTAAAATCTTTTAATGGGAAGTGTTTTTTTATTTCTTATGTAGTATTTAAAATCTTTCTTTATCTTTGAAAATGTGCCTTCTTTACAAAGTTACAGAAATTAATTTTCATATGAAATAAAGCTTTGCTTTAAAAAATTGTTGAGCCTTGTTTTTAATTATGTGAATATACCATACGAGTCAAAATAATCTTCAGTATATGAAAAAAATCGTTGAAAAAATATATAATTTAAAAATAAAAACTGTTCATATATTTAATTTGATAAGAAACTGTTCTAAACTCTTTTTTTTTAAACTCGCAATAGTTGACTTACCCAAATAATTATAATTTTTTGTATTTAAGGAATAATTCTATTTTCCAACAATGGCAGCATGATATTCGAACACATAATATTATTTCAAAGGGCATAATTTATTAAACATCTGCATAAATAATAAAACAGACAATGTCAGTCAACTGCAATAAATGGCAAAATCAAAGTTTTTTTTTTTTTTTAACATTAATTTTAATATATCTTTGATGTGGAAACCTTAAAATAATATTGAATTCTGATTTTTATCAACAGTTTTCAAGAATTATTTCCATAGCTTTTGAGATTAGGCCAGTGAACTTCCCAAACCATTAAAAGGATTCAGGCAAGCTAGCAGAAGCTTTGGAAACTTGGAGGGGAAAAATACTTTCAGCATGTATATATATTATATGTATACATATATATATATATATATGCATGTTGTGTATAATGTTATTTTTATATCCATATTCATTATTGACAAGTAATATATAACCTTCATACTTATTTGCAGTGTATATCTGTAATAAAAAAAAGAAAAGAAAAGAAAATTAGAAGGGGAATATTAAAATTAGAAAAGGATGTTTTTATATTGAATACTCCCTGTGACAAGCATTCTTACTAATTGCCAAATGTTATAGTTTATTGAAAGAAAAATTTCCAAAAACCTCTGAAAAAAATTTAATATGGTTAACAAATCCTTTTTGATTGTTGATGTAAATAGGATTTACAGCCCTCCTCCTGTTTTATTCATTGCCGGGAGGGGGGCCATTTGTTTAAAACAAACAATGAAAATTTTTATGTGATATTGTAACTACTATGAATCAATGAATAAAATAAAGAGAAAACAACTTAAAGCTGTTTTACTATATCAAGCTAATTAACTAACAATTATAAAATGAGTATAAATGCAGATATTTTAATTTAAAGCCAAAATTATGTATATTTTGGACAGAAATCTGAAGTGTGGGGCCATTTCGTTTTTATATGTTCTATAAATTATTTTCATGTGTAACCAAAATTAACACTAATTAGTAATTCAATTTTAGTTATAAGTATACTACAATGCTTCCCATTATAAGACCATTGCCTCCTCATCAAGGAATAAATTCATTTTTGTGGCATTAGATGGTGATATACTAAAAACAAAGCAGAGAATTTCCTTCATCTCCTGAGTTTTAACTCCTTTGCTTTAGCCCTCATAGACAGCTAATTTTCCACAGTGACCAATGAAAAATTTTATATATATTGAATTTTTCAGGGAACAAAGTTTATCAAAAAGATTATACTCATATATATCAAGCTGAAGATGAATGAGAATGTTCTGAAGACTTGTAAAACTGATCTCATTCTTCAAATGTAGTATACGCTAGGATTAGATCGCTGCATTACTTGGTAATTATTGGTAGGTTGTTGAATGTGTTAAGATTTACATTTTGGGAATGAAGAGATTCGGAAAGTCATCAAAGTTGTTCTAAATTTTTTATTGAATAGTAAGATCTAACTTAGTCAAAATTTTGTTTATATAACTTCCAAAAAAAAATATATCGCTTTTTGTTTCCTTTTTCTGAATTTTAATGAATTGTGTTTCAGTTGTATTAAATTATTCAATGATAGCCAAATCTGAAATCATAAAGCTTTTTTCTATCAATGTAAGAAAAAATACACTATATGCTAAAAGTATTAGTATTTGGTTATCACGAAAGTTTTCCGCCAAAAAACGTTCTTTATTTATAAAAACAACAGCAACATGAAAGTAGTAGCTTTAGTGCAGTTAGTAATCTCCACTCAAATCTATCATTTTCTACCAATGTTCTGTAGTGTTTCAAAGACTTCGGCCCAGAAATTTTATGATCGCGAGCTCAAAAACAGATAAACCTCATTTTGGTTGTCCTGTGCAGAATGGAAGATGGCACCAGCAAGATGTAGCTGCAGGTATGAAAAAAGCTAGAAGTCTGAAGGAGCGGATGTCGAGGTTATATGGTGGATGAGGCAAAAGATCCCATTCGTGTCCGTACAGAGTCCAGCCGGTGAATGCAGACACATATGGTCTTGCATTATCTTGATGGAACATTACATTTTTGCGTGGGAACACAGTTCAACGTTTTTCCTTGATAGCAGCGTCAACACGAAATAACATCTCGCTGTACACCTTACTATCAAGGGTTTTACCTTTTTCAGGTACTCTTTGTGTATAATACCACGGCAATCCCATCAGATACAAAGTATGATCTCTTTAGTCAAATTATGCTTTGCGATATTGCCGACGGGCTCACCGGTCGCAGACCAAAGCAACTTTTGGCCTGCGTTGTTGAAGTAAATCCACTTTTCATCATAAGTGATGGTCCGCTCCAGAATTTTGTCCTTGCGTTGATATTCGAGCAGACTAGTGCAGGCTCTTACGTGTCTGCCCGTATCTGCTCTTGTCAGCCCATGCGGCATCCAGCGACTGAACTTGTACGGTAAGTTTATGCAATACAGAGCGAGACCAATGGACATGACGCTAACATCTAATTCCTTAGAAATCTCTCAAGTGGTTGCATACTGATCTTCTTCAACTAGTTCTCACCGGCAGACCTCATCAACATCAGTAGGCTGGCCAGAGCATTCTGCTTCTTGAATGCCATAGTTCTTGTTTTTGAACTTTCGGTACCAAACTTTCAGAGTGTCGCAGACTAGTCTAAAATAGGTCATATTTTCAAATCTAATCCTTATTTTTCTGCCATCTTATCATTTACGCATATGTCAATAACTTCAGAGTGACCTCCGTATCCTCAACTATGATAGCCGTGTATAACAGAAGCTAAATGGCAATCAATTATTGTCACTGTAGCTAGGTGATAGATGCATATAATTCTGTGTCCAGCATCGTGGAATTATTTCGGAAAAAGCAACTTGGTATTCACACTGGCTATGCAACTGCAATGATTGAAAGCATTTGTTTAAAGATTAATGAAGTCAAGTTCAAATACATCACGAAGCTGTCATCGCAAAGAGTATTCCAACTAAACTTTAAAAAATCTTTTAGACTAGATGTTTATATGGTTAATTTAAGTAAATTCTTCTTATTGAAATGCTTCTGACAAATGATATAAAGTGGAATTTTATCGCAATGCCTAAATTCTTCAAAAGCATATCGCTAGTTGTCAACAGGACTTAAAAGAGACCCTGGTCTTTCTAATTACCACGAGTCTTTTTAAAACTCAAGATAATTAGAATATAGCACGCTCAAGCTATCTGCGTAAGAGGAGATTCCTTCATTTAGGACTTTCTAAGAGAAATCTGTTTATATTTACGCTATACGTGAGAAAAATCAGACAGACAAGTGTATTCATTTTGATTTTGAGATTTGAATTCGGGTTGAACTACTCGTACTCAATGGTTTTATCCCATAGGACACAGGTGAGTATTTAAAGGAGGATATTTAGTATTTAGGTATATTTAATAAAACATTTAATTTACATAAATTTAATAAAATATATAGCATCGAAAACCCAGACTTTGCTGTTCTTTAAACGGAGAATTTTGTGGTAGCCTATTGTGCAAGGGTTTCCTGCTATGCTATTATCTTCCAGCATTAAATTATTTATCAAGGAGATATACTATGAAAACAAGAAGAATGTTCTGATTTCAAGTGATAAAATTATTATTTTTCTCAAAAAATTATAATACAAAAAAGTCTTTATATGTTCCTTTCTTTCTTCACGAGGACTTAGAAAGGTGGTTTTAAATTTTCTTCTTGCTTTTAGGATATCTAATATTTTCCACATATCACTGTTTGAAGTGTAACTGATGCACAATCCTTAATCTTCTAAGAGCTATTGTTTTCTCTTGACAAAAAATTGTGACGTGGACACCACATGACTTCTTTGTACGTCCTATTAAATTACACACATTCATTTGCTGCACTTCCTTTAAAACGTATTTCCTCCAATTATTCTAATCCTTCGGGCAAGTTGAAAATAACATCAAAAACTGCAAATTTTGAAATTAAATATCCCGATCAATTTCTGTCGTACCGGAAATAAATTTTATTTTTTCATAACAAGTATGAGACTTTTCCAAATATAAGTATAGGAACCGGGGGATCGCATTAAAAGTTAGACTTCGTTATTTGTCAAAATTATCCTTTTTTTAAATTTAACATTGCCAAAACATTAATATTTTCGTCATTTAAAACACTTCTGTAATTGGAAGTATATGTCTACGGCCAACGATTTTGAAAACAAAGTCCGGGTATGGGGGGTGGATAAATAAAATATATGTAATATTTTAGCAGTCGGGCACATGAGTGAAGCTTTGCAATCCAAGGACGGACAGAAGACTCAGGTGTTAGAAACACTTGGTCAGCAGGCACCCGGGTTATAAAACCACATCCTGTGTAGAACTCGTACGAAAAAGACATATCTTTTCTAACCTAACGTGACAAAGTTCGTAATTGAGATAAACAATCTCGTGAAAGTGCAATTTTAGAGTTTTCAGATACAGCGAACGTTGAGATAGTTCTCCTATAGATGTCCGGTGGTGTAAATGCAAGTGTTATCGATACCCTAGGCATGCAGGAATGCATATCTGTTGCTGCGTGCTAGCGTCAGAATGGCAAGAGCTCGTTTGAGTTGAAGGCGTTGTCTTGAGTGAAGAGGGCGGAGCTACTGGTCGTCTTGGCCAATGGTGGACGGCACAGAAATGTATTGTTTTGGTTCCACATCCTTATTCAATTCACAGG